AATAAAAATGAGGAGACTGGACAAAACAAGTGTATGCACACATATGCATATGAGCTCCCATATACGTATAAAGTATTAATAGAATACCATAATAGTATAAACTAGACAAAATGTCTTAATTATACAATGTTCATACTCTGAGTCAAGAAAAATGTGAGAAATACAAGTTTCACAAAGTGCTAATAGTTTTATCTCAATTAAGAATGAAATAATTTTCTTTCAAATCTGTAAACAATATAGGACAACAAATTTGTAACATTTTTCATGTAAAGATAAAAGTAACCATGTGTCAACTACACAGTTGGTCCTTTTGGTACAGCTTAAAGCTTACTAGAAAGCAGCGTGAAAGGTTTGGGAACATGCTTGGAAGAGCTTATGCACAATGCTAAGATGGCCCATGAATAGCTCTGGTTGACACAGTATGAACTACGCCTGATGTGCGCTATAAGCCTTAAATAAATGTGGAGTAGATGTGACAGAACAAAGTTCATTCTCCATGGTAAGCAGCTTACATGCTTTTTGAAATACTGCTATAGACAGCTCTTTTATTACAAACAATGGGAGGCTGACAATGAAATGTTGTTCTTTAGAAATACTGAAGAAAATCTGATTTTTAAATATTTAAGTTTGTTTATATTAAAAATGATGACCATATATGTAAATACTGAAGAAAATCAACAAATTGAATGATTTAAAGTATATTTAATAACTTACAAGTTTAAAATTATAGTCTGAAGACATACTAGAAAATAAAGCGTAATCTAAGAGCAACTTTCTTAGAAATACACATCTATACTAAAAAATAGGGAGCAGTGAATTTATATGTGCCTTAAATAAAGACACCCCAGAGAACAAATTAAAAACTATCATTTATTATATGCAAATTTCAATTATTTTTTTAAAAAATTCCTAAATGCATGGGTTCTATAAAAGTACAGGTCTAAGTGTGAATACAAAACTCAAATACAAAATTTGCCGTCTTGTTTGGCTTTTGCAAAAACTCTACAAGGAGTAAACCTAAAGTGAAGACACTTTTTGTCATTTTTTTTGTCAATGTTAGAAATGTATGTCAAAATATCTGCAATAAGGTTTCTTTGAAGAAAGAATGGCAAAGTGTTAGGGTTTTCTTTATACCTATTTCTAAAATAACTTCCAAAGTTAAGTAATTCTGGAATTACATAGAGAGGCCTTGAAAAATATAACTGACACATTTCATTTACATTCCATAAACCATAAGGTGAGATTCTTATATTTTTCCAAAATGTTCTCTAGATTATAACTAGTCTACTTAATATACTTTCAAATGCAGTAACAAGTATACATACACTTATGTAGAAGCATAATAAATCTAACATGCTACTACTCATACAGAAAACTTTATACACTGTTGCATACTTTAGACATATAACTATAGAATAAATGCTACCCGAAAAAAAGAATTCACAACTTGAGAAAGGGATTTAATGTATAGCATTTTTAGGTTTGATATTTAATAATTAATTGCTTGCTTTTATAATGTATTTTTCTTATGTATACAGTATGTGAAAAAAACTGCTTAGCCCAAATAAGAATAATGTCATTTCTAATACATTAAAAATATCTATTCCAATTTCAAGACATAGAAGAATTTTTCTATAATTTTTAAAATTAAATTTAACTAGTAAAAGAAAAACATATATCAGAAGCATTTAAATCCAAAAGTACTTCTCTTTTATGAGATAAGGCATGTATATCACGTTGTAACTTATAACTAATATAATTAACCCATTATATAGCTTATTTTAAAATCGCCATCATCCAATGGACTGTCAGTCAATTATTCTTGACTGGCCTTTTAACATGACTGTGATAAAATTTAATATAGACAGTATAAACACAATCTTGATTTTTTTAAAAAAACTGGATTTGTAACTAGTTTCTAAAATTAAGAGAAACAGGTTTAGATTAACATTACCATAGTGTCTACCATATATACTATCCTGAGTTTTAAAATAGATGTTTTCATAGATGTGCCAAAAAATTATTTCTAGAATGCAAGCTTCCCTTCTGAAACTATTATTTTGAAAATTACTAATATAACCTGGGCACTGTATAGCATGTAAGTGATGATATTACTTTCCATTTAAATGTAATCCAACATGCATTAGGTGATTGATATCAAAGGCATATTTGTTTCACATCTTGAAACAATCCATTCCAAAGGAAAAACTTAAATTAATAAAAGAACTATAGGTACAATACAGTAATTCCTTTGGGGGAAACCCAGAAATTTAATGTTAACTCTTATAAGAGTTTTATTGCTCTTTTAATCAAGATGAATACACTCCAGGTGCTAAACCAGAGAAAAAAAATAAATATATTTAGCATATGTTTTATTATAAAACATTTAAGCCCATAATAATAAAGTAAACACTTAGGAGAAAATGAATTACTAATTCTAGTTCAGGTTCCACTCCAATAAGTACATAATTAATTTTACAATGTATAGATTAGATGATGATTAAAAACTTCTTATATTATTTTTATCTGAAAAATAAAATTGTCAAAAAACAAAATAACTTACTAATGTTTCCAATTAACTGTTTTTACACAGAAGTATAATTTGCCTTTAGTGAACACTACAATATCTGAGCTCAATTTTTTATAAGCTTGACATTTCCCCAATGATTTGACATTTATCCTGATAAACACTCCATACAAATTTTTTCTTGCACGAAAAATGACAGAACATGTTGATGAAATTAACACTGGATTTTAAAAATTTTATAGTTTATTCAAAATCTAATATGAAACTAAACCATCAACTATGATACTCTGTTGTGAAGATGGTGTTACTAACCTGTCAGATAAGCTGAAGATGCAGAAGCATTACAAAATTATTATTAATTCCTACAGGAGGCTTAGTTCTACAATATATCTTATGAAGTTCATTTCATGAAATATTTTGTATAAATTGAGACTACCTTAGACTTTCAATTCCTAAAATCTAAATTGAAAATGTTTTAAGAAAAAAAAACTGTGGTACCCTAGTTCCAGATTTTTGTGTAAAATTTTTATTCTCATTTCTAGTGAATTCTAATAATAAAAACTGGATAATTTTAATTTTAGGAAAGCATTCATTGCAGTTATTCTTACAGTAGGGATTTTAACATTAATATTTTTCCATGATATGTCCAGGAATAAAAGCTGGCATTTTGCTGATTTTTTAATGTCAGTTTTTCCCAGTGTGGTGTGTGATGCTGCATTACCTACAAATGACAGAAATAACGATAAACTGTAAGTTAAAACAACTTCAAAATATGCAAAATGAACAACAGCTTTTCAAAGAACCACTACTTTGACACAATAATATAAGCGAGTCACTTGAGTGCTCGCTTTACAGGCCAAACTACAAAAAGACTAAATAAAAATGAATAAGTAAAAGTGCAATTTCTTATTAAGAATGAATAATTTGGATGCCTCGTTTTGCTAATTCTTATTCTTCTTATGTCTCAACGTATCCGCTTGGAGCACACTGCCAATTAAACGAAGATCTACAGATGGCATTTACCCTTTTGCTTCATAACAAAAAGAATCTGCTATCATTTTTATGGAAGATTATCTAGAAAGGAACATGACTGTAAATCAATGACAAAAAATATTAGACACTCCCCATCTCAGCGTCAAAACGTGCATGCTTTAGATGCTTGCTCTGACACCTAATGTAATAAATATTTGAAGCTGAATCTTAAATAATAGCTGCAGGGTTTCAACTGGTAAGGATTCACAGTATCCACCAAAAACTCTAGCATTCAGCACTCAGCCGACAAAGGACAGCAAATAATTCCCAACCGCAGGAATAGCGGGAAGGATACCTTGGGCTTTTGTTTTTGTTATGTAAAATGCATTAAAGTGACTCATCCATTTAATATTACCTACTCTTCAAATCTATAAAGTTGCTTCGAGAATCAAAATAAACGCTTTCCCCGAATGCCTGATAGGTTATTCAGCGCATTTTAAAAATATGTATGCGTTTTCATGTGCCACTGACTTGGATTCTTTTTGCCAGCCTGAGAGAGGAGAGAATGGTTATTTTTCATTCCCCTTCTACCCGGTGACTTATAGAGCTACCTTTAAAACCCTCTATTTCTAGAATCACTGCGAGGGTTCATTCCTTTTTTTTTAAGTTATTTTAGAAATGTTAAAAATAACAAAATTGCAGGAAACTGTGGAAACGCTCAATGCCTCCCTCCAAGAACTGGTTCTATGAATTCTGCGAGGAGAACACACGTGTGCCGGCACCGGGCGGTTTCAAACCCTGGATTGAGAGGGCGGCAGCCCTGCCGTGGTCCCCGATCCTGCGAGCGCCCCACGGGGTGCGGGCTGACCCCCCAGCAGCTTCAACGACTCTGGTTTTGGAAAGAGAAGCGAGTGTCCCCCATCCCCCCTACCCCCCGAGGGAATGCAGGAGCTAATCAAGTTTGGACCCGGAGCCAGGAAGAGATGCCTCGTGCGGGCTCCGTGCGGGAGAAAGCCCGCGCCAGCCTGCACACCCGACTAGATCTGTGTGTCGAATGCCCACGCGAAGCTCAACTTTTTCTTGGCCTGGGTGCGCTGGCAGAGGGGATCTGGAAGGAAACTCCCAGCCACCCGCCACCAGCTCCCCGCCCCGCGGGTCCGGCTGAACTCCTCCAGCCCCGAGCGAGAATCCTTCGGGAGAGGGACCCGGGCGCGGCGAGCCGTCGGCAGACGATCCCCGGGACGGCCGCGCGCGGGAGCAGCCGTCGGGTCGGCGATCACCCGGGTGGGAGCCGCGCGCGCTAGCGCCCGCTCGGGCCTCTCCCGCGCGCCGCCCGCCGGGCTCCCCACCCCCAAGAGCAGCCAAGCCCCGAAACTCGAGAACAGACGCCCCCACTCCCCTCCTCCTCCTCCACCTATTCTTCTTCCTCCTCCTCCTCCTCCGAGCCATCCCTTCGGCCCGCACAGGCCTCGCCCGACCCCCGCGCACCCGCGCCACTTACGTGACAGCCGAAGGGAACGGCTCCTCCGACGAGGGACCGAGCAGCAAAAATTGGAAAAGTGTCAGAGTCCAGGCCAGCAGGCAGCCAGCAGCCATCTTCGCGATCGAAGATCAATCCCGCCTCCCTCCCGAGCCGGGGCAAAGCACCGGGACTGGAAAGCGGCTGGACGAGCCGCGGGAGGCACGAGCTCCGGGGTCCCGAGCGCCGACGTCCGGACGTGCGGGGGACGCGGAGGGCCGCGGGGGGCGCGGGCGGCGGCGGCGGCGGCGGGTGGACCCACTAAGGCGCGGAGGCTGCTCGGCGCCGCGGCCGCCGCGCCTTCGCCGCCATCAAGGGCGACTTTGGAAACAGACCCGGGGCGAGCCCGCCGGTGGCCGCGCGCTCGCAGTCCCGCTCGCCGGCGCTCGGTCTCCTCCCTGATTTACTCCCGGGAGGGCCGCGCGGAGACGGCGGGGGCGGGGCGGGGGCGGGTGCCGGAATGGGAGGGAGTGGGAGGTGCGGGGGGTTGGGGGGGTGGGGGCTGCGCGACTTGGGGTGGGGAGCGGCTCCGTCTGGCTTCTTCTTGGCGGCTGGTCCGTGGGGGGCTGGGAAGCGGCTGGGGGTGGGCCGCGGGCGGGCCGGGCGTCAGCGCCGCCGGGCGGGGACGGGCCCGGAGCAGCCCTCCATACAAGGCCGGGCAGGAACTCCCCCAAGTCGGCGTCGGCGGGCGCCCCGGCGTGCGCGAGGGGGAGCCGAGCGGGCCCCCCGCCGCCGAGCGCGCCCGGAGAGCAGCCACAGGCTGTCCCGGCTCCAGCCCGCTACTTGGCCCCGTCTCCTGGGGTTATTTTTGGACCGCCAGGGCGCCTTCCCCCAACCCTTCTTCCTTCTCCCCCGCTCTGCCTGCCCGGGATTCTAAGCGAAGAGATTCTATCACAAATGCAGTGCCGGAGGTAGCGGGTGCTGGTCGTTGCCTTTGAGGGCACCCTTTTACAACCCTGCCGGGTGGCACGATGGACCCAGGAGGGGGCAGAGTTTGCAAGTCCTTCGAGCACAGCCGCTGGTCGGTGCTGCCAGCGCCCATCCTGCCCCCGCAGGTACGGCTCACCTGGCGGGGACCGAGCCCAGGGCCCAGATCCAGGACGCCAGGAGCTAAAGGAAGCTGAGACTAGACACCCCTGGCCGCACACGGCAGTAGGCAGAGGGGAGAAGGGCAGTTCTCCCAAGGGTCTCTCTAACGTCTCTTCTGACACTGCATGCACAGGTGGTCGGTGCCCCTGTCCTAACTCTGCGGGGCTCTGCTGGACAACGAATGCCCTGGGCTGGGACCTGGACTTGGAACAGGTGGGAGTTTGCAGAATGCACCTGTAACGTTTAGAATTCAGAAGGAACCGGAAAGAGAGCTAAAAGGCTTAGTGCCCCGACCCTTTGGAAGGAAACAACGGCTGGACTGGCTCGGGCCTTCTGGTGGAGAGACCAGGAGGGTCGTCGTCTAGGCCTCACTCTCAACCCAGGCCATCCTAAATAGGAAATGCGGTGCGGGCTGGGGGTGCGAGGAAGGAGGGGAGGGTCAGCTTTGCTTTCTTCCAGTGTCTTCAATTCTTTTAAGAGCCTTCTAGGTGTGCAATACAGCTTCTTGGAGAAGTATAAAAGAAAACCCTTCAGGATGAAGAAAAATGACCCCAGAGAACGCTGTGTTTATGGGGTGGTTAGAAGATCTCAAACGGTCCCTTTTTAGGTTTCAGGGGGCTACTTAAGAAACAAGTAAGGACCTCATTAATTCTGAATTGATTTTCCGGCCCTCTGAAGGCAACCTCCCCAAAGAGAAAAGACAGAACACTTGCTAGGGACGTTTTTGTTTTATTTTGTTTTGTTTGTTTGTTTGTTTTCAAATGTGTGTGATTTTGAGACTCTTGCCCCAGCGATGTTCCTGGGCCTTGAGAGCTCCTTTGTGTGACTTATTTGTTTTCTTTATGTTCTCTCCATCCCTATCTTGCTCTTTGTTTCTTTCTTCCCACTCTGGCTGGCCTCACAAAAGGCACCCCACTGTGACTTAACTTAGTTTGTTTTATGCTAAGCATAGAGAGTGTGGCAGCAGGAGCTGCTCAAATGAGAGATGAAGTGGGATGTAATGGGATTGGAACTAGAGCCTGGAAAGGATATTTTATGTAACTGCAGATAGCTTTCCGCTTCAAAATTAGATAACCAAATAGTCGTGTCCGTCATTTTTTTTCCAATTTTTAATGATTCAAACGCAGATTTTTTTTTTCTCTAGCATGGAAATTCAGGATCACAGATACGTATTATTTTAAACTACATGTTGGCATCATAATAGCCTCATTACATAAAAAGATTATGTGTTTTGTTAATTACTTCAATAAATGACTTCAGACTTCCTACTAAACTACACCATTCCAATATTCTGTCTTTAAGAATAAGAGATTAAATAATGCAATACACTTCTAGAGAAGGTAAGTCAACCTCCATTATTAACTTTGTTGGCCCTTGAACCAAATCTCATTTGGAGGGATCACTGTACTCTCTAATAGCTGAAACTGTTGAAGAAAGATACTGCTTCTACAATTATCCACTGTAAGCCTAAATCATTGTTTAACATTCTTTTGTAAGGTTTGCCTATAATTGCCTTCTAACAGCCTAAACCGGTTTAATGGGAATATTCAAATGTTTTTATTTCTAATGAATGACAGCTAAAACAAGACCATTTTCACAAAACCCTCCTGTGTCTTGTCTATTGAATTAACTATATTCTACAATGCATTGTTTGGCACAATTCTGTTAATTAGAAAGTTTCACAAAAGTCAGACCATATCACATTAACTTCAAGAAAATTTTTCTTTTAAGGAAAACTTACTATTCAATACAAAATGTTTACAAGTCTCAAGAATTAATGCCTACAGTTGTTACATGGACTTTACCTGACTGGGACACACAAAACACTCTAATCTTTATTTACATAGATATCATAGTTAGAAAGGTTAGGTTCTAATTACAATTGGAAATTGTAATTGTAAAGGTTCATGAAGAATTACAGAAAATGTAACATTCATGCAAAGATTTTCACACGTGACCTATATATAATTTCTAATTTTGGTTAATTTTTAATTTTTCTATATTTAAGTGCTTGATTAATATACATTTCTTTTTAAAATTTTACTGAGATTAATATACATTTCAATCTTATTAATGAAAAATCAAGAAATTGACTAATAGCTAGCTATGAAATGCCCCCCCCAAAATATATTGTTGATATTAACGCAAGAATTCTTTTGTTGTGGTGTGTGGGGTTTTTTTTAATCAAAGAATAACATAAAATACCTAACTGAATTCTCTCTCTCTCTCTCTCTCTCTGTCTTTCTCCCTTTCTCACTCCCTCACTCCCTCTCTCCCCCTTTCCCTCCTCCCTTCCTCCCTTTCTCTTACTACCTTACACAGAGACACTAAAAAGGAAAAGATAATTCTCTTAGCCAAAAAAAATCAATCATTTAAGACCAAAGTTAACAAAGGACCTATTTGCTTACATGCAAATAGAGTAAATGACCTGTTTCATGTTTAAAAAAATGCTATAGAGTATAGAACCATAATAAATACTTGTAGTGTGAAGCTATAACATGCTTCTATGCACACAGCTGTCAAAGTTTAACACAAATGGATGGAAAGCTTCACCTATGTCCTTAAGGGAATAATTTCAGGAGATGGGAATAAGAAAGAAAGCAACTAAGAAATAAAATTTCCAAAGAGAATGGTTAAGGGAGTTTGTAGTGGTTTTCAAGTAAGCATTTACATTCAGTGTTTTTAAACTAAGTGGCACACAGAGACCGTCAGTGATAGCAGCCTAAAAAAGACCCTATCTTAGAGAAAAAACTATGGACAGATACGCCCTATAAACAAAACAAACATTTAGGAGAAAAATTTTCTTGGCTCTGTGGGAGAGATCATATGGAGGTTAAGCTCGTGCCTTGCATATATGGTCAACTCTGGCTGGATTTCTCACTGCAAATGGTCCCCTGAGCACCACCAAGAATGATGCCAGATAAAGAGCCAGGAGAAGCCCTTGAGCCCTACTGGGTGTGACCTACATCCCACTCAAGGAAAATACCTTCCCCCCACAAAAGAAAGAAATTTATTTCAAGTTTACAACTACTGACATTGCATTAAATTTTAGAGGAAAGAAATGGCTTTTCAAAATGGACAAAATACATAAGTATTTATTTGATGTTATTATTTGTCCATCAGAGTTCTATATTGGAAAACTTGATATTAAGTATTAAGAAAAGAAATATATTTTAAAGTACCATCATACCCTCAAAGAAGCAATAGTTTTAATGCTGTTCTCATTTGGAATATCTGCTAATCAAATTTTTCTATTTATTTCTCTTGTTTAATCTTTTCCTCACTTCCCTTCCAATTAAACATAAGTGCACCAAAGGAAAAGATCAGCACCTACAGCATGACTTCCTATTAAAAATACATATATTAAACCCTGATCTAAGTTTTCATAATGAGATCCATCTTTGCTCTGTATATAGAATTATTTTATTTAATTTGTAAATTATAGCACTGAATATGTAGAGTCCATTTGCTTGGGCCTACACTCAAAGGAGATTATTTTGTCATTTCACAACTATGTAAGGAAGAGTGTTAATCTGAGATAAATGGTAACATTTGAAAGGAGCCAACCAATAACTGTTGGTCCTCTCTCCAGTTTGTTAAATATTATGGATGTCTATGAGAGAGCATGATAACAGTTATTAATCAACAGATGTCAATTTTTAATATTCTATAATCAAAATAAAACACCATTATAGCCTACTGTATTTTTATGGGATTTGGATAAGTTAGAAATTAAACTCAAATATACCTACTGTACAGATAATATAAAATTAGTGAATTAGATGAGTATCATCAGGAATACTACAAAAAGCTAGGAATTTCTTGTGGGAAATCGTTCCCCTAAGCAACCCTAAGGTTGAAACATTCTCCAGGGTAAGTCATAAAAATGGGCAGACAAAAATGGACCAGAGAAGAACAGAATATAAATGGGCAACAGACAACAATAATGACTCCAGGAAAGAAGAAAATAAAATCATATAGGGTTTTCTACATGTTGAGAGCAACTTGGGCGAAAATAGAATAGGTAATTGCCATAACCTTACTCTATGC